CATCTCCCCCACTGCCCATACTCCAAACACCTCCCATGGGACGGGCCATGGGCCCAGTCCCCTGTGATGACTCACCAGCCTTTGGCTCCTTTTTTTAGTTGTTGTGGTCCCACGGGAACACTGCTGTGGTCTTGCTGGCCTGGGGGCCACCAAGGCCCTCCTCTCCCCTGCAGCCTCCAAGCAACTTCATCCAAAGGACACAGCCATGACTTTTGCCAGCTCCTGCTCCATGCACTCACCAGCTCTAGCCTTGAAGTAGCCAGGATTCGAAACAGCAGGAGCAATTCTTTCTTTCTCTCATTGTGGCTTCTCCTGCCTTCATGCACTCTGTAGGTCTCTCCTCCTCTTCCCCTGAGCTCTAGTGGCCCCAGCATGGCTGTCACTGTTTTTTAATAGTTGTAAATTGGTTGTTTTGGGGAGAGAGTAATGCTGGTGACTGTCTATTCTGCCATCTTGACTGGAAGCCTACAGATTTTAATGTGACAAATGAGCACTCTTTTACTTGTTAATTTACCTAATCTGAGTTCCACTAATGACACCATAACTCTTATGAGATAATCATATAAAAAAATTGTGTTGATGCTTTTTTAAAAGTAATACTCATAGTAGAAAACTGGTCTCACAGAGATTATGTTGATGGAAATAGAAAAAAATTTTTAATCAATTTCAACAAGCCCAATATTTTCATTTTTAACTTTTACTAAAGGAAGCAAGTGTGTTGTGTTTTTAAATTGCATCTTCAATCCCTCTTCAGTAGCCAGTTCCAAAATAAATTTTATTCTATAGTTATAGTTAAATGTAAATTATCTTTTGATGGAAAAACACAGATTATGGATCTATGAATTTCCTCTGCATATATCTTCTTTTGACAGAAAACTAAATTCAAAACATTCTATCAAATTATTAAGGTTTCTCCATGAGTACTTGTGCAGATATGCAATATTAAGATTATCACCTACAATTGTTATTAAATTAAGTACATGTCATTGCAATGCATAGAAACTCTTCTTCTAAACTTTTAACCTTTATTTTCACATTTAGATTTTACTTGTGATTGAAAAACATGCTACATTCTTTCTTTGCATGGAAATATTAACATCAAAGCTATAATATAAACAAGTCAGATTATGCAATACTCATCTGTAAAAAATTAGTACTAAACTGGTTTCTTGTCTTGCAGAAACATTAGGAGTTCTGACCATAGATCAAACATTCCCAGCAGAGCTTCTCCCCCCGTAACTTGGCATGCAATCCAATGTTTATGATCTGTTTACATATTATCACATAAAGAGAGAGTAATTTCAAATTTAACACCTTTACCTAATGTAATTCACAATTTTTCCCAACTTGGCCACCACATTGTTCCCTTCAGCTGGTGCATTTTTCATAGCAAGACTTCTCAGTGAAGAAAGCAGGGCGTTGTTTTACAATCTAGCCCATGGCTTCTCAGTCCGGATGACTATCCAGAATGTTTTCCTGTCATAGCAACCACAGCCATCACATCATACTCCTATATAAAACTTAAATCCCAAACCACATTTTAATAGTTTTATACAGTTCAGAGCTAGTTGTGTTTCTGGCAATGAAGCTAAAACATAAAGAATTCCTTCATATCATTGCGTTCACGTTGCACAGATAATAAATAGCTGTGCTAGCAATATTTGTGCATTTTTCAAGTTGCTGTGAAAAATATTTTGCTAGCTTTGTTTGTTCTAGGAGGTGGCCTTCCGTATCATTATCCAATTCCTGACTAATTAGACCTAAAGTGTCAATGGAAAGTGATATTTAAGCTCCTTTCTTTGCCCTAAATTAACCCAATATTGTTGCAGTCTTTCAAGAATGTTTGGATAGTTGTAGATGGATTTTAGTCTTTGTAACACAAACTGTTACTTTACAGGAAGCCCACAAAACTAGAGTTTATATGTGAAATACTGATTACTTCCCAGAGCTTTTTAATCCAATACTTTTTTTCCTCAAAAAAATTGTTTTGACCTTGTGTTTTTATGTTTTATATGTACATGCTGCTTGTTTTTATGGTATATTTGCTTCATTAGCCAATACAACTCAACAAATAACTCACTAGTTTTAATACTTCACTACTAATTATAACTATGAAATTGACACTGTGTGAATGTCATAGTTTCCTATTGCTGCCGTAACAAATTACCACAAATTTAGTTACTTAAAACAACACAGATGCATTACTTTACAGTTCTGCAGCTCAGAAGTCCAGTTGGGTCTCACTGGACTAAACTGAAGGTGTCAGCAGGCTGTGTTCCTTTCTGGAGGCTCTAGGAGAGAATCTGTTTCCTGCTCATTTGGGGGGTTGACAGAATTTAGTTTCCTGCAGTGATATGACTGAGGCCCTGTTTTCTTGCTGGCTGTAAACTAAAGGCTGTCCCCAGATTCTAGAGGCTGCCACATTCCTTGGCTGCTTGCTCCCTTCCTCCCATGTCTAAGCCATCAACAGCAGGTGGGGTCCCTCATACATTGCATCTGTCTCCGAGCATAGCTGGGAAACGTTCTCTGCTTTTAAAGACTCATATGATCAGATTGGGCCCACCCAGATAACCCAGATCTTTAAACTTAATCACAGAAAAGTCCCTTTTGCCATGTAAGGTAACATATTCACAGGTTTCTGGGAGCAGGGAATGGGCGTTTTGAGGTGCCATTATTCTGCCTACCACAACGAAGGGTTCTATTTTCAAATAAAAACAGTGCAAAGTCTTTGGAATAATTTCAGAAGGAAAATTTTCTTTGGAATCAATTCTACCATCATTGCTCCCACATTCAGAAAAGATGCCTTTCCTTGACAAAAAGTTCAGTTTGTTTTGCTGTCTATTAGTACTCTAATTAGCTAATGACCACTCTACTCTAAATTAGCTAATCATGTTAAACTCTAATTTTAAAAAAACTTTTTTGAATAAAAATGGAAATGATTGTAAAAACAACAAATTATAAAAATAAATATGTTTATACATTTTTGCTTATAGCTAACAACTGACCTTAGGGTATCACACACTGTAATGTGTATTGTGTGTTACAAGCACACAGCTCACTCCATACGTGACTCTCCATGCCAGTGTCACAGCATCCAAGCCGGCCTGTGGCCTGTACAACAAGACGAGACAGGTCTACTAATGATATGCTTAGATCTTGAGGTAATATCAAATTGATATAAAAGTTTTGAAATCCTAACTCCCAATTTTTATACTTACCTTGTTTGGGCGGGTTACAAACAATTTGTGGCCCAGCACCAGCTCACAGATCACAATTGAACAGCACAGGTCTAGAATTTTCCCAGAGTGTCCCAAACACCTCCTCCAGGCTGTGCACATGGGTTGTTCCTAGCATCCTAGGCAGCCTAAGAGAGAGTACCCCTATGGGACAAGATCACGTCCACATGTCCATCAGCCTGGGGCTCTCTCCAGGGAAGACTTTCAAGAGCAGTCCCTCCTGCAGGTCCTTTCTTAGCCTTGCCCCTCTCTTTCCTCCAGATTCCAGGGAGGCTTCTCCCCTGGTGGACCCAGGGTGGGTATGTAGACCTAGTCAAGGACACTGAGGGTTCCCATTCCTCTTCTAGCCTTGGGGACAACCCCACTTTCTTTCCCTCTGGTCCCCCCACCCACCCACAGCAGCCATTGTCTTTTTATCCTCAACAGCCCCCACCACTTTTCCAGAGACAACTGTCCCTCGGCCTCCTCAGGTTCTGAGCACAGGTAGGTCTGGGGTCTTACTGGGAAGGTGAAATGGTGGCAGTGGGGGACAGGCAACTCACAAAGTCTCAGAATCAAGAGGAACCATAAAAGGCATTTCCTAGGCTGTTGAGGCTCTGGGGGACCCAGGGCCGTGCCGCAGAACTAGGCTGTGAAAGCAGCCCTTCAAATTCCCCACAAGGCCCCCTTCCCCAAACAGCCCCAGAACTGTGAAGGGGAACAGAGATCACAGAGATGAAAGGGCCCAAAAGACTATGACTGTTTCCACCCTTGAGGAGGCTGAGGTAGAGAAGGTCGGTCCAAAGATACAGAAATGCCGGAGGGGGTGGGGCGCAGGCCTCTTGACTCCTGTTCCGGTGCTCCTCCTGGGCACAGAGCAGCCTCCACAGACAATAGAGCCCAGGCCACAGGGCTGTCTAGTCCTGAGCCGGGGCCTTCACAACCCTTTCTCCATCCCCACAGGTCAGTTTTCTCCTTCTAGGCCAGGGTTCTCTGTTCCCATCTGTTCAGCTGTCAGGAACAGGTGGGCTGTCCTGCCAGCCCACTAACCAAGGTTCTTTTCTTCCTTGGCAGTCTCTGCCTCCAGGCAGGCCACCTGGGTTCCCCATGACCTGGTCTCTTCACAGACCCAGAGCTGTGTGTCCTCAACTGGAGGAGCCAGAGAAGCCCCCAGGGCTCCATCTGCCAGCACTGCCCCTTCACAGTGAGTTCTGGGTGGGACCCACATCCACACAGGCCTAGCACAGGGGCGCACATATGGAGAATGCCACCCCTGCCCATCCTCTCCTCTTGTCCCCATGCCTGCCAGGCCCCAGAATTCCACTCTCCGCTCAGGCCCTGAAGCCCACGGGGACCTGGTCCCAGCACTCTGTGGACTCCTCATAGCCAAGAGCCTTCTGCTGTCTGCCCTGCTTGTCTGGTGAGTGGGGTGTGAGTTGGGCTTGGGGCAAATGCAGCAGGGAATGGCATCTGCCACAGTATGAAGGGCCAGAGAGCAGGGGCAGGAAGAGTGCTGATTGACGGGCCCTCACTGGCCCATCACCTGCCATGTTCATACAGACGTACAAGCCACCTCTGTCCTTCAGCTGCACTCTCGGGTGACTCATCCATGTACCTCTGTCTCTGTGTTTTCTCCTCTCTCTCTGTCATCCCTCCATCAGTAACACTAACCTGCACAACCAGAAAGTCTCTTCTACCACCCACCCTTCCAAGAGTGCCCACGTCCAGGGGCTACCTAAAGCCTCCATCCCAAGACTGCCTCAGCCTAAGCCCTGAGGGAGAAAGGGTGGACACAGGAGGAGAGGAGCCAACAGTTCTGGGGAGAAAGGGACACGTGGGGCTGGATGAAAGGTGCAGGGACACACAAGCAAGGCCCGGAAATACGGTCAGGTCTGGCCAGGAACTGGCTTGCTGGAGGAGCAGCACCTGTGGGGAGAGGGAACAGGGCCCAAGGATGGACTCACATCACTTCCTGTATTTCTTCCCCTCCTCATATGTCAGGGCCTTAAGGAATCGCCATGCGCAACATCGAGGGGACGCACCTGACCCAAAGTGGATGGCCAGTCTCCCTCAAGCCCAGGCCCCCAGGAGCTCCTCCCTGACGTCTGAGCCCTGTGTTCCCTACAATGAAAGGGCCAGAACTTGACCTAATGTCCGTGCTGCACCCCTCTGCAGAGCGGATGACCTCCTTCCAGGCCCTTTCTTGCTCCCACTCAGTTTGCTTCCGGGCCAGCGCCGTCCACGAAGGGAGCGAAGCCCGGAGCGGCTTCTGTCCACCAACCTGAGCCACTGGTGACAATTCTTCCTCCCTCTCCTCTTGTCTCTAGCCCCTAATGAAAGGAAAACTTCAGACAAAATAAATTTAACAGAGTTTATTTGAGCAAAGAACAATTCATGAATTGAGCAGCTTTCAGGCAGCGAGTGTTTATCAGCAGAAAAAGTCTGGAGAAAAGAGAAATGAGAAACAAAAAGCAGATCGGCTGTTTCAAAGTTCCTTTCCTTGTAAAGGTTAAAGCAGAGGAGACTTCTTTATCATGTTGGCTAAAACTGGCTTTTTTAGGGACTTGGCTATTGTCTCTCTCTTTCCTGATTTCTAGTAAGATCAGATAAACTACTTAGCTTCAGCTTGGGATTGCTTCTCGATATTTTGGCTAAGATCAAGTGTAGTTTTGGCTTGGTGGCGTTGAACTTTAGCACGAGGGACTACATGTTGGTCTGGTCTGTTGGGCCTAGTGCAGGGCCTCAGTCCAAACCAATGGCCTCCTATCAATTTTATTTAACATGTCTCAGCCAAGCACCTAGGTCACCCCCAACATCACTCTCTCCCTTGCTCAGCCACACTCCGCCAAAGCCTCTGTGCATTTTCACCAAAGGAGAACTAAAATCTGGCATCATTAGTAGGGCCCACACTCCACCCAGGCCAGCCACCCCTTGTTATCCCATCACTGTATGTCCCCCATGCTGTCCTTCCTACTGCCACCAAGATGGCTACAGGCTCTAGAAAGAGGGAACCATCCTTTTGTCTGCACAAGCTGGCAGGAGGATCCTTGGCACACCCACCAGGATCCTGCTGGGTCCTACCCCAGGCGCTGTCACCCTCACAGGGTTGTCCTCTCTTTCTGACACTCACTATCTTGATGTTGGACCTTCTGGACTCAGCCTCTAACTTTATCATCTTTTCTCTCTTGTTCATCATCTATTTTTCTTTATTCCTACTTTCTGGGAAAGTTCCTCAAGGTTGCATTCCAGTTTTTCTATTCAAATGTTTGCAACTTATGCTACCATATTTTTTTATTTCTAAATGGTTCACTTGTTCTCTGAGTATTCCTTTTTATAGCACACATGTTTTATTTTGGCATGCCATATTTTCTCTAGAAATATTACCATTTTGACTTCTGAACTTTTTTAAAGCTTTGTGTATTTTCTATTTCCTCCAAGTGGCTGGGTATGTTTTTTAATTTCTCCTTTTCTTGGCCTCTGTCTTTTCTCGGAGCTTTCTGGAAACATCTGCTTCTTCTGGACAGCCCATCCACACTGAAGGGCTCAGACTCTCATGTGTGCTGCAGGGGCTGTAGACAGATTGGGCACATGCATGGCTCCATCTTTTCTCTTTGACAACTTGGTTTCTCCAGAAAGGACTCTTAACTGTACTCCTTGAGAGAAGAAGCCTTGACCCAGAGTTCTGGGCTCCAGGTGCAGCAAAACAAAGAGGCCTCATTGCCCCGGCCCGTTCTCACTCAGCCCCCTTGTTGCACGCGTGCTCTCTGTGGTGCTCTGAGCTGGAGCCCTGAGCGGAGCATCACTGTGATTCACCTCCTCAGACACTAACCCCAAGCTCTCAGCAGGAGGTGAGCCAGAGAAAAAAAGAGAGGATGTGGGCAGCTGGCCTACTCTGAGTTGCACAGGAGGCAGAGGACCTAGGAGTCTAACCGGTTCTTAAAGGAGACTTGCAACCTATTCTCTTGTTTCCAGCCCCACTTCTACTCTGCCCTCTGACATACCCAGGCCTCCCATTTCTAAGCTTTTCTGGTGTTCTAAGGTAGAAATGACTTGCTCCTTATTCCTCTCAGCCCTACCAGCTTTCTCCGGTCTGTGAAGTTGTCTGATTTTTACCCAGTTTCAAAACTTTCATGGAGCTCTCTCATGACCTTGAGGATGGATTTGTACAATTTTTACCCATTTATTGCTATTTCATTCACCCACCTTCTTAGTAGAAATGAGGAGGGACCCCAGAATTTCCATCAGAACACCCCTCCCTAGCACCCACCACCGAGGGCAGGATAAACCAGACCCCAGATCTTCACCGGCTCCCTGTAAAGACTCCTGGCTCCCTCCCCAAACTCATGGTCACCACTGAGACCCAGAGGAGCCTCTGTGCTTTTATCTCTGTCACTCCCATCACCGCAAGTCACCCAGGACACCCTTTCCTCCCTCATCAACCAGAATCAGGTCTCAATAAGACCTTGCCAATCCATTAAATTATAGCCCCATTTCTCACTCTCCCTCAAACCCACAGACTCTGCCTCTGAAATGCACCATCATCAGCACAAGCTCCTATATTCTCAGCTTCTCTGAATGTCACCTTTGTCGTCTCCCTGAAATCTGCCTTTTCTCTGTAGTTCTCTCAAGCGGTGGCTCTGTGTCCTCTTCACCTCATGCCACTGGGCCTGCAGGTGGGGTTGGTGCCCTCTGTGCTCCTCGCTGCCCCTTCCTGTCTTCCTATCCGCCCTCCTCTTCTGCCACTAGGCTATGCCACCATCGTTGTCCACCCACCATTGCTGCAGATCCTGGCTGGGGGCTGGTCCCCAGAGAGATCAAGCCACAAGTAGAAGCTTGGAACTTTCAGTCCCACCTCCATCGTCCAAGAGGAAAGAAGGGCTGATAATTGAGTTCATATTTGATCATGCCTACATGATGAAGCCTCTGTAAAATCCCAAAAATATGCTTCTGGGGGCTTCTAGGTTGGGGAACCCGTCTGTGTGCTGGAAAACAGAAGCTCCTGTACTTGGGACCCTTCAGACCCTGCCCTATTAGTCTCATCTTGTTGTTCATCTGAATCCTTGACCGTCCTATTTGTTTTTATAATAAACCAGTAAACGTAAGTGTTTCCCTGAGTTCTGTGAGCCATCCTAGCAAATTATCAAGCCTGGGAAGGGAGTCTTGGGAACGCTATTTTACGGCCAGTCAGAAGCACATCTGGGTCTCTGGCCAAACCACCCTGAACGCGCCCAATCTGGTCTGATCTCAGAAGCCGAGCAAGGTCAAGCCTGGTTAGGACTTGGATGAGAGAAGTACATCTGGGGCTTGTGATTAGTGTCTGAAGTGGGGGCAGTCCTGTGGGACCGAGCCCTTAACTGAGGGGTCTGCACTAACTCTGGCTAGTGTCAGAGCTGAACTGAATTGTGGGACACCCAACTGGTGTCCACGGAGAAACAGAGAATTGCTTGATGTGGGGGGCAGAGTGGAGGTAACCCACACTTTTGGTCACAGAAGCATTCTGTATTCAGAGCATAGTAGGAGAAAACAAGTTGGGTTTTCCAACTAAACACACTACCTTTGATCTTTCTGAGGTCTTAACAAAGGATTTTATAGTCACGCTCTTTGTTCTGTCTTTAGACCACATATTCTTGAAAGTGCCTTGGGTTCGATGATAACATCACTTACTATCTGGAGGCCAAGAATTTTCAAAGTCATGAAGTCTCAGCTCCTTCATGTTAAATAGTCCTGCCTGTAATTTCTCTCTTCTCTCATTTTATAATGAGCCTCAAGAAAAAACCAGGTAACACCTTCAACACTTTGCCTGGAAATTTTAGCTCTGCCACCCAGGTCATTAGGTACATTTTCTACTTTCCACATTGCTGCAGGTGCCAGTGTTTCTAAGCTTTCTGCCGCTGCATAATAAAGATCCCCTTTCCTTCTCACCTACTGACTAAGTGACCCTGCAGAAGGTACTTGAGGTCTCTACACCCAGTCTCCTCATTGGTAAAAACAGAACTGATAGTATCCACAATACCAAGCTATTTGTATTTCTCAGTAAAGCACCAGACTTCTGGAGGACACCGAACAAATGCTGAGCTGTAGAGGGAGCTAGGTCTAATAAAAAGAGGACTCGCCTGTGACACAGAAGAGACAACTCAGAGCTGCCCACAGCTGGAGAGACAGATGATAATGTGTGGGCAGACAGTGAACTTGGAAACCTACAGGAAGGAGGCTCCTCTTCTCAGTGACCAGCAGAAGGAAACAACAACAAAAAATAATCAGGGTGACGAAACTGACCGAATTTGGCCCAAAATACACACAAACTGACTGACACCTCTCTGACTGGCAGTGGCCAGGGGAGGCCTCCCTACTTGTCAGGAGGGTGTGAGCCGCCAACCCTATATGTAATGGGATGGGGAAGCAGAGTTTATTAAGAAATAATTTTTAATCGTGTTGGCTGCATCTATGTGCAATTCTGCAGCAATCTCTAATCACCTTCTTGTTTCCCTGTTCTGGTTGTGGGTGGGACGTGCAGTGGAAAACCCTGATAGAGCTCAGGAGCTTGGACACCAGTAAAGCCACCTGCCACATTCAACAGGTCACTGACCTTCTCTGGACCTCAGTTTCTTCACTAATGAACACGCTTTGTAGATTATAAAATTATGTGAATATGTTATTTGTGTTGTTTCTTAAGTTTACTTCAAACTCTAAAACTCTGTCCTGCATCTGCACATTTTATCTCTAGGGGACCAACTTCTCCAGTTTTCCCTCCTTTCTCTATCCTAGTGTGGGAGCCCCTTAGGTGCTGTTGCAAGCAGGAAAGGGCATGTGCGTAAGCCCAGTGAGTAGAGGGCCAGGGGTGAGCAAGCCTTGGAAACAAGACCTGAACTTGTTTTCTCTGCTCAGCCCTGTGTGAGTTTGGGCAGGTCACTGCCCCTTTCTGAACTTCTGTTTTTTCCTCTGGAAAATGAAGGAGATGGAGATGAATTCTGAAGCCCTTTCCACATGCGGCTAAGTCAGTGAGCATGAACTGAACACTTTCCTGTGCCCAGCTCAGGGTTACCAGGGACAGAGCAGCACAGGACACAACCATCCGAAAGGAGCCAGCCCAGGAGCACAGCTGTGAGTCCGTAGGTGGAGGGGTCCCTGTGGAAGATTCCAACAAAGACTGAGAGAAGAGGACAATGGAGGAGTAGCAATGTTGGAAAGGAGATGGCTGGGGAGAGAAAGATGACAAGGGACACTAGAGGGCACTAGATAGTGAAGGAAGGAGCCCAGCAAGGATGAGTGACTGCACAACTTTGCTGTGCAGTCACATCAGTCAGGACAGCCACGACCTCACATGAGCTCAATAGGGAGGGTGCACAGTCCCAGGAAGGCGCCAAAGCCCCTGTCCCATCTCCATTCATTCCTAAGTGTCTGGTAGCATCCTGGAAACAAGGGCCAGTTTGGGCTTCCAGGGTCTGGGGTCTTTTCCTCAGAAATCTCAGTCTCCACCACCTCTTTCCAGTTCTCACCTTTCTTACTGGGCTCCTCTGGGGAGCAGAGAAGTCTAAGGACAGCCAGAGTCTTGGGCAGACCAGAATTTCTGTTCATGGTTAAAGAGCTGAACTTACTAGGGGGAATCTGAGTGTGGACTGAGTAGCAGAGGTTATTAAGAAATAATTTTCAATTGCACTGGCTGTGATGATATTAATTTGCCATGTAGCAAGAAGCTCTTTTTTTAGAGATGTATGATGAATCATTTAAGGGTGAAATGTCAGGATATATACAACTTATTTTAGAATACTTCTGCATAAAAAATACAGTGAGTTAAAAATACACAAGTGGGGGCCGGCCCAGTGGCGCACTGGAGAGTGTGCCGCTTGGGAGCGCGGCGGCGCTCCCGCCGAGGGTTCGGATCCCATGTGGAGACCAGTTCCCACTCACTGGCTGAGCGCGGTGTGGGTGCGACACCGAGGGTTGCAATCCCGTTATCGGTCAGTAAAAAAAGACAAAAAAAGGAAAAAATACACAAGTGGAGTGGAGCTCCTAGACCCTGAGCTCTGTGACAGGGCCTGCTGCAGGAGCATCCTGTTCTGCTATGGAAATCAGACAAATGACCCACCTCTGTGCAGAAATTACAGAAAAGTACCCCTCTAGGCCTGCCCATTAGAAAAAAATCACCCTCTTCTCAGCCAGCACAACAGATTCCAGCTGCCCTTGCCCTCTGGGCAACCCCGATGACCAATACATCCAGGGATTGCCCATGGTCATTGGATGACAGATCAATGCAGCTAATGTCCATGCCCATCCCACAGTCCCACCAATGTACCCATGTCTCAGTGCAGCCCTGAACTTAGCCTTGGTCAGCAAACCTCTGCAATGACTGCACCTAGAATTGCACAGAGCACATCAGGTTTACTGTTTCTATCCCTCTTTTTTTTTTTTTTTTTTTTTGTAAATTATGTATAATTTTGATTCTGATTCTAAAAATCCTGACATTCAGTAAAGAAATATATGTTAGTGGGCTGGCCAGTTAGCTCACTTGGTCAGAGCATAGTGTTATAACACCAAAGTCAAGAGGTGAGGTCCCCATACCAGCCAGCTGCGAAAAAAAAAAAAAACAAGAAGCATGTGTTAGATTTAGATTCCTTTATCTACTTATTTTTCAACTGGCATTTCCAAAGCACCCATCGAAAGGGCAGCAGCAGCTGGTGGTAGAGCCGGCTTCCAGGGCTGAAACTCCCTTCCCCCCTCCTCCCTGTCCTGCTCCTGAGCCCAGCCCAGCCCCTCCAGAATCCCCTGAGGGCCCCTGCTCAGTGCTCTCTGTCTCTGCTCACAGCTTTCCTCTCCTCTACCTCTGCCTGAGACTGCTCTGCACCTGGGGCCTGGAATCCAGTCTCTGCCTCCTAGCTCCTCTCCCCTCCAGCACTCACAAAACCTCCCAGGGGGGAGACACACCACTGATCCCCCAGTGGGGCCTGGATGGGAGGCCTGTGAGGTCCTGTGGGGCTTAGGACTGTGGTCAGGATCCAAATGCCCCTGTGACCCTGACAACTGTTCTTAGCTGTGCCTCTAGAGGAGGTTGATAAACCAGGCCCAGAGAATGAGAGGCAGTCTGGAGACAGAGGGGAGGAAGAGAAGGAGTGAGGTAGCGTTGAGCTGACCACTTTCCTCCCCACCTCCTGCCTCACCCCTCGCCCCACCCCCATGGGGGCGGGGGACTGGAGGGAGGGGGGGCTGGGCAAGAGTGAGCCAGAGCACCTCACAGTTTCCTGTGGCTGAGGCCTCTCAGGGACCAGAGATGCTGCATGCACCTGGGAGAGGGGGTCTCCTGGCTCCGCCTTCCCCCTCCCCTACTCCCAGAGAGCCCACTTCCCCAGGCCTCCCACTTTCCCAAATGAGGCCTTGTCTTCTCAATTCTTCCTTCTCAGAGGTGCTGGGGGAGTCTTGATGAACCAGGCCCATTTCCTGGGGTCCACATAATTTCCTAAGCCCCTTCGCCCCCACCCCAAGAGCTAAAGGAGAGGCTGGCTTGGTTGGCAGGACCCTCTCTTACTACTGCTGCTGCTGCTAAGAGCACCTCCACCCAGCCTGCCTGTGCCCTTGACTTCAGACGAGGGGGTGAGGAGGAGGACAAGAGAGAAGACAGGAGAGGGGAGCAGTGGGCAGGGAGAGGTGGTCCTGCAGGCCAGCGGGAGGCTTATTCTGGTTGTGGGCCCACTGGCGGCTGCTCCCCCAGCCTCACCCCTGCAGGGCCCCCTGACCTGAGGCATGTAATCCAGGCTCCCGGGGAGAGAAACCTGAGTCTGAGCAACCAAGGGAATGGGATAGGAAGGATCCCTGTGGGCAGAGCCTGTGCCCGCCCCAGGAAGATTGTCAAAGGAGGGAGTCTCAGGAAATCACTGTGCCCTGCCATTCATCAGATCCAGACACAAGCCATGACTATGTCCTCTCCATACATGACCAGGGGCAACACCCCTGGGTCTGGTTCCACTGTCCCCCTAACTAGGCTCCAAGAGACAAGCTCAGGCACACTGGTGAGAAACACAGTGCTCCCTGCAGCTGTTGATATTCTCAGAATTGTCCCCAGGTGTCCCCAGGTGAGCTGCTTACCTGAGGAAATGGGCCTACACAGGCTTCTGGGAGAAATACCATTTACCTGTCCCCAGAGAAGCACTGGCCCCTCCATACAAACAGCTCCCCACTACTGGGCCAGAAAGGAAGACAGATAGATTTTTCTATCTAAAAAAAACAATTCTTATGCATGATAAAAGATGATATAAAAAATCTTTTTAAAAATGTGACAGGATAGAAAAAAAATGTCTTATACAAGATTAATAACCAGAATATAAAAGGAACTTGTAAAATCAATAAATAAAGGGCAACAACTCAATAGAAGAAACAGAAAAGACAGAAACTGCAATTCAAAGAAGTGCCCATGGAGAATTAACATGTGGAAGACAAGATCAATTTTATCAGCAAATGGGAAAATGCTAATTAAAACAACAGTGAAGGATCATTTTTTACCTGTTAAATTAATAAAAATTTTAAAGTCTAGTTATTCCCAGTGGTGATGAGGTTGTGAGAAAATTGGCAGTCTCAAAAGCTGTTGGTGGGAATATAAATTAGCACATCCTTTCAGGAAATCAATTTGTCCATATTTATCAAAATATTAGAAGTTCATCCACTTCCAGCAGACAATTCCATTTCTAGTGTCTGCTTGAGAGAATAAATCATGTATACACCAAGAGGCATATATCAATGGTTATTTGTTGCAACATTTTATATAATAGTGAAACTTAGAAACAAATCAAGTAGCCATGATATAGGAAAGGAACTAAACAAATGATGCTACAATTTCTACAACTATGTAGCAGGGTAAAAAGAACGAGGCTGATCTGTGTGTACTAACATGCACAGATCAGTTGGCAAAACATATTCAGTCCAAAAAAAATCAAGCTGCTGAATGACACATATCATAGTATCTCATTTAAATCAGTTAAAAGGAAAATGAAGCTAGATCCATACACAGTCTGTGTATGCATGTGCATGCATGTGTGCACGGGTGTGTGCACACAAGTGTAAAAACAGGGAAGGGCATGGACAAGAATCACCTCAAGATGCTCTGGAGTAACATCTGGTACCCTAGTGTGTGACTGGGGTGGGAGACAGGGTGTGAAGGGGCACTTTTGCATTTTACCTTGTATCCTACTATATTATTTGAATATTTTTTACAATAAAATGTACTTGGGTTAAAAAAAAAAAGATAGAAATGTTTTTAATGACTATTGTAGCCGGTGGGAGATGCAGCGAATAGGGGGGTCAGCAGTGGGAGGGTGTGCGTGTGTTGTCATGACCAAGTCTCCAGTGACAGGCTAGTTTCAGTGACCCCCCCAGGAGGCTTAGTGACCATGTGGCACATCCTCATTGGTTCCCTTGCACTTTCCTTGCACACTCGTTCTGTCCTCTCCATCGTCCGGCAAGCGTAACCTGGTCAGCTGAGCCCTGCTCGGTGTCCCGCCCCTGGCTTCTCACTTACCATAACAACCCGGCAATTATTTTATGTTCACACAAAAGCCCACACACAAATGTTTACAATGCCCTCAGTCATAATCGCTACAAACCAGAAACAATCCAAAGGTGAAGGGATCAACAAACCGTGGTAAGAGTGCAATCTAGCAATACAAAGTAGCAAACTACTGCTACACACAGCAGACTTGATAAATCCAAACTGCATTAGGAGAGAAGCCAGACTCAAAAGCCTGCACACTACAGGGTCCTATACATATATGTGACATTCTGGGACAGGCAAGACTATTGGGACAGAAATCACTCATTAGTGGTTTCCAGGGTCTGGGGTTTGTACAAAGAGGCATGAAGGAATTTGGGGGGTGATAAGACTGTAGTATGTCTGGATTGTGTTGATGGTTGTGCAACCATAACCACCTGTGCCCACGCCGCTCGCGTGATCTGATCTGAACCCAGAGGCCATCTAAGCCAGTGCTTTTCTCACCTCCCTTCCTCCCGTCTTTATTTCTGCTTCCCTTTTCTTCCTCCTCCCTCTTGTGTTGTAGCAGTGGAAAGCTCCCTTCAGACGGAATCCTACACATGCCCTGGTACATACACCCTCTGGAGTCATGCTGTTCTTGATGAAGGACGAGGGTCCCTCAGCAGAAGTTTGTCCCCATGTTCCATTCTACAGATGAGGAAAGGAGACTTCATATGCACATCTATGCTCTGTGCTGCCAACCTTCCTCCACGTCACTCTGGAGACCAGGCAGGGGAGGCTACGAGGGGGCGTCACGGTGAACAGCTTATTCTAACCTTTCTGGAGTCATCCAGATCTGCAGTTTGGTCATGGGCTAACAAAATAGAAACAGATTTCGGGGGACATATGTCTTTTCCAACAACCTGCCCACCATGCCCTTCTCTCTGCCTTCTTATCTAAAAGAGGTCCAAGGGACCATGTGTCCAGTAAGAGGAACTGGTTTTTTTCAGATTGACCATGAGCTTTGCCGCAACATAGACACAGCCTTAATAAGGTTCATCTTCCAGCCTCTTGTGCAACAGAGCAGGAATGCATCTTTCAAGACTTTGGGGATTCAGGAATCCCACTGGGAATTTATACCACAAAAAATACAAATGTGAAATGACATCTGTAGATGACTACTTATTACAGCACTGCCTGTAATTTCAAAAGATTGAAAACAACATAAATAGTTAAGCTACTAGAATATTTCACATTTTCACAGGGTGAGGACTCTCCCTACATACAGATATGGACTAATCACCAAGATATTTTATATTTTTTTAGGTACAAAAGTCTGTCTATAATATGCTAGCTTTTATGCTTTAAAAATGTAGAAATTAAGGATTAATACTTGTGTGCATTAAAAAACTCTAAAGAAAAACAATAAACTAATAACAGTAGTGTTGGGGTAGGACAGGAGGAGGGAACAGAGTGAAATAAACATTTTTCACTTTTTTACATACATTTTTATTTTTTGAACCACTGAAGCTATTCAAAATCAAATTTTTAAGAAATAATTGTAAATGAGCTTCCACTTTCAGGAAGATGGAGTAGATGTACTTTTGTCTATTCTTCCCACTACATGGAACTAAAAATCCTAGAGGATATGTATATACCTATATATCTCATATGTACTTATGTCTTATAACGTAAGACAATTCTGAAAGGTGGAGATAAGAAAAAGGGCCAGCTGGGACCCAAGGGCCAACACTGCAGTGAGTTGCCTGAGTTTTCCTTTTACCTCATGTACCCCAGACTGGACACCAGAGAAACTGCAACCCAGAAACACCAGCCAGCACAGAGGAAAGCCTTAAGGAATGCCTGCTTTCTCTAGCCAAAGAGGGAGGAAAGAGGCAGACAGGGCAAGACAGAACTTTTATATATGAGCTGTTCTACTCTAGCCAAACATCACAGAAAAAACTGTGGCCTTACGTCACCCACACCAGCAAAGGCCAAGTGGGGAGCCCAGATTTTCACCTTCTCCAGGCTGTAATAAGGCACCCCAGGCCTCACCCTCGAATGAAGCCAAAAAAGGCCAAGTGGGAAGCGAGGATTTTCACCCACTAGGGGCAATATCAGCACCGCCACTGGGGAGTCAGTGGAGACCACCCTCACCCAGCAGTAAGAGGTGCCCCTCACCCTTCCCACTGGGGTGGTGTCAGAGGAGGACTGTTGGAGCATCAGAATTTTCATCACTGTTCAGTTTTAACAAGGCCACCCCCAAACAGTAGCAGTAGAGTCACCCCTTCCCCTCCCAGGGCGGTATCAGCAGAAACCTAACTCTCACCCCCACCCAGAAGTTATAAAGAGGCCTCCTCAGCATCCTCCCACCCCC